TTTCGAGCTCCCTATTTGACATATCGTCCTTCGAATATGTGTAAATTTCAATATTTTGTTCTTCGCTCAATCTAAGATATTTTGCCATTTCTAATATCTATTTTACTTTCATTTTAGTAAAAATTCGCAATTATTATACATTATGTATCTAAGACACCGATATTTGTAAATTCAAAGAGATTATCACTCACATTTAAGGAGTTACTTAGGTCTTGAAACTTGAAAAAATTAATTTTTTTGATAATTTTTTTTTGTATAAAAGTACAAAGGGTCAGGAATATTTTATTTTCCCCAAATTTCAAGTCGATCGAGATGAAGCTGTAGAAATTAGAGATTTTTATAACCCGCCGTCTTTGTCATTGCTTAACCGATGGCGAAACTTTTAACGGGTTTTTCTTAAAACCACTTATCGAAATCGGTAGTCAAAATTTCTCAACGGCAAAGCGATCGAGTTCAAATTTTCCACACTTCTTTTAAGCATGTTTTTGTAGTCCGTGAACGCAGGACTTATTTTATTTTTGATTTCAACTCATTTTACTAGCCAATATGTGGCATAAATGTAGGCAAAAAATATGCTTTTTATAAAAAACGCAAAAAATTTTTTTTTATTTTGTTAATTTTTCTTCGTTCAGGGACAAGGAAAGTTCACCTACTTTAAGAAAAAAATTGTATTTTTGTTTTCAGTTAAAAATTGAAAAAGTTATTGTGACTACCACGAAAGCACTTTTTGGGGGACGGTCTACTTCTCGACACTGCCAACGCCTTACCTTATGCTATTTTTCATTCAATTTTTCATCAAATGTTGTCCACATATTGTACTTTTATATGTAACCAAAATAAACTGTATACTTTAGTTAGTAGCTTTCAAAAATAATAGAGTAAATAAGCTGTTTTTGCCCTTTAAGACCTGTGTAACCCCTTAAGCCTTTTTATCTATCGACACTAAATAAATCAATTTTGATGGACAAATTCACTTGCGGCGCTTGTAATGTCACTGAGTGTACATGTATGTATGTATTGACAAGCAAACCGCAGCTGTACTTTATATATATGTATATATATACGCGGACATAGTAAAACCAAAAGCTTTGCAATTTCTGCGAGGGTCCAATTTAATTTATCCCACCGACAGGCAATCACATTTCCTGCCAAATTACATAATTCAACTAACTCACATACGAGTTTGACTAACATAAAATACATATGTATGTATATAAATATGCACATACATGTTTCTATTGTAGTTTGCATGCATTTGACATATTCGTCTACTCTGCAATGCAAAAATGTGCCTTTCACCTTTATTACATTTTGGTATTCGCAAATATTAAGCTTATATAATCAAGTCGAAATTATGATTATTCGATCTCTAATTTTTAAAGTCTTTCACTTATACACATACATACATACATATGTATGTATAATACTTACATACATTTTTGGTTTTACTTTAAAAAGTCCGAAGTAACCCATAAAGCTCAAATTCGAGCAAAAAAATAAAAATAAAATAAAAAAAATAATAAAATAATTATATATGGTTTAGTAATGTGAAGATGGACCGTTCTGTCCCTGCGCGAAAGGGTTTCAATAATTTTCCCGTGGGCATGACATGCCTCCTTACCTGTCATAAGTCCAAAAGTTCTCGCAGCAGAGAGACCTTTGTACCGGAACGACCCGGATTTTTATCCGGCCAAGCACTGTCACACCTTAATAAGTATTTTGGGGAATGTTTAAGCGGTTACAACAACAACGGCATAGCTTTTTGCCTTTTTGCACATAATATCATTAGGCCTCTCTCATAAAAACTTTTGTCTTTGGTAAGAAATTGGGAACATTAATTTTCACAGGCTTCGCTTGAGGCCGATTCTTCCGCAGTCAAAACATTCACTTTAAATAGGAACATATGGTAATCTTTTGGTGCGAGATTCGGATGAGAAGAACTTATCAACCAAGCACTCGAAGTACAGGTCCAAATTAAGAGTTTGACCGTAGAGGAGTGGCTCATAGTCGTTGATTTCTTGGCAATGTCAACAAATGCACAGACAATTTTTTTTGGCCGTCAATAAAGGCTTAGACCACTGCCGTTTTCGTTTGACATTGCTAAGTTTCCGAAAATTGTAGATAAAACGAATTATATTGTCGCCTCCAAAATATGCTCCTTCCAATGCGATATACATATGCCAAATCTTTTTTTTCCAATCATTGAAATATGCCTTGTAGACGCTGTTCGGGATCGCCTTCAGTTCTTATTTGCTTTTACGGCCTCAATCGAGTCGAAACGGGTTCCACGAGTTTTGGAAACAGAAAAAAAAATAGCAAGGAGCCAAATCCGGTGAATACGATGGTTAATCGATGGTATTGAACGAGTTTTTGGTCTTAAAATCGTGCACAACAACAGCTCGGTGCGATGGCGCATTATCGTTATGAAAAGTCCATGAATTCTTGGCTCACAATTCGGGCTGTTGACGACGGATGTTTTCACGCAAACGCCTCGTCCCGTTGGAACGAATTCATGATGAACCAAACCTCGAATTTCGAAAAAGCGATACCCCGAAACTTTCTAGTCTTAATGTATGTTGATTTTTTGGTAGATTAATAAAGATAGGCTCATTGTGATGGCTCCGTTTCTATCTACTTGGCCGATTCCTATATGCATTTTATTATATCACTTACTCTAATTCCTGGCACATGGAAAAAGCGATTACAAAATGTCGAGGTCTACTTCTGGTTACAGCAGACCAGCTGCTGCCATAGCAACATGTTCTCAAAGGAAGATATGCTGCATGCCGTTCCTAAAGGCAAAATTTCATCAAGCTTCCAATTAGCTCTGAGACTTCTTAAATTTTTCAGAGAATATAAGTCCTTAGACCATCTCTAGTCACATTTTGGCCAAGTTTGCCGCTATTTGTGACAATTCAAGCTTTGTTACCACCTTAACGCGGCTTGTTTGTGAAAGTATTCCTTTATCTGCTGTTTGCATGTGACTAGAAGCCTACCGATGCATTCATAGGTATTTGCTTGGTCGTACCCTACCTAGCAAGTTCGTCTGCCCCGCAATTTCCCTCTATGTCTCTGTGACCAGCGACTGATCGAGTAATAGTATGTTCTATTTAGTTAGCCCTTGAAGAGATCTGCGTCAGTTTAGTATGTTTCTAGAGATTGTCGAGATTAAGTCTAGAGCTTTAATTGCATCCAGACTGCTACTGAAGATGAAATTGTCTCTTCCTAATAGCAGAGACTTCGGCCTAGAATGCGCCATAATGATAGTAGCAAGAGAACATCTCCTCCAACTCTGCCGTTGAAGTTTTGAATCATCTGTGCAAACTACAATACTTTTCGCTTCAGTACCCAGGAAACCCCGGAAGGCTCGGCTTCACATCCAAAAGTAGCAAAAAAATAATTAATGTGAATCCCTCCGAGTGTATTTCTGTCATGAAACAAAAGCTCTTCATAAAAAACCATCAACCGTTCGAAGGCGACTTAGTACAAGCTGCAGGTCCATTTATGTCGTTGGAATGTATGTTTGTTTTCTTCACGCGTCAACGTACTTTTCCACCACTTAAGAGTATTCTGATATAAAATTCCAGCGCCAGATTCTGTTACTAAAGCCACATTATTCGCCTATAGCTCTTTACAGGCATAGAGGGCAGTCGAGACTATCTCATATCTCTGAGTTATTTGCTCATTTTATCACAGTTTCTTGCTCAGATTGTTACTTCGAAACTTCTCCTTTACCAAACTGAGGCGAACTCTGTTCAAAACTCTGTAATTCCTGTTGAAGATATCAAGTTCCACTTTTCTAGATTTAATACTGAGTCCACAGGCTGTTGTATTTGCGGAGGCGTGAGTATTCATTCTATACACCCTTCTTACGCTGATCTCACATCACGCCAAGGTGCTCGTGCAGTATTTTAAAAATATTTGTATCGGATACTCCATCGATTTCTATGAGTTGTTTCTTCTTTAGTCCAGCATCGTCGAGGACAATTTTTTAAACTTTTTGGACAAGTTATACCTGGATGCTTCTTTCCAGCCTCGGGTCAAGCTCAAGAGATTTTCAAGATATTAAATTAACTGTGCCGCTTGCGCCTCAGGTTTTTTTCACGTAAGGAGTCGCTGAATACCAATTACGTCCCGTTCATTATGGTCGCAACTAGAGCTCTGGATAATCGGGTTTCGAACAGTGGGAGTAGTTTTATATATATATAATAGGCGCTTTGTAACCGCTGTAACAATTTTGGGCCGAGGCTTCTACTCCAATTTGTGGTTTTGCGTCTTAACTTTTTTCCAACAAATGGAGGCATCTGCAGTTTATACTAACGGTTGATGGTTTTTTATGAAGAGTTTGTATTTCAAATCAGACATGAATTCGGAGGGCTTGACATTCTCTGCTGAGGTGCAACCGTAATTAGAAAATTTAACTTAATTTTTTATTTAAATAAATTTTCCATAACTTTTGAATGTCGGTAGCACCGGGATATGAACCCGAGCCTTCCGAATCTCAGTACGCAATGCAGTAGCTCTATATATGCTTGTTATTTTTAAATCTCTTTTCAAAATTTCTGTAATATATCAAAGAGTTTTACGCAAATTTAAAATCATAAAAATTGACATTAAAAAAAAAACAAAGTCAGAATTCTTGTTAAAATGCTCCGGGGTTATGAACCAACGTAATTATACTAATTGGGAGTCACTGAACACGTTACGGTCCTAACGAGTCTTATCGCTCCCTACAACCGTCTCATTCAATCGAACATAAGAACACTCTCTCGTATGTCGGTGACGTAGACAGTAGCCAAGTCACCTTTCCAATTCGTTGTAACTAAGAAGTGAGTCCAACAAGAGATCCCAAAGCAAGGATGAGCCAACAGCAGTTTTTAATGTCTCTCCCATTGATTTTAGATACATTTTTAATTCTTCAATATTATATTGCATATACTCGTACATACATACATAGCAAAATTCATAAAAAAAAATTTATTTTCTCCATCACTTTGCAGAGACATCAATATTCACCGTTGAGGGTGTACACCTGTTTCCTGAGCTGGATCGGCAAAATAAATGAAAATCAAAGCAAGTCCTTTCCGTTGATGGTGTACGTTTCTATTGTTAGCAGCAGCAGCAGTAGCAGCAGTAGCGGCAGCAGCAACAGCAACAGCCATAAATATTGTAATTCTATATACATACATACATACATATTTCCTTTGTTTTTTCTTCCATTGCAAAAAGAATTTTTGTGTAAATTTTATTCCGACAACACCACTTATGTCAATTTTTTTTTTGTATTAACTTTTAGCTGTAATGCAAAGAGATGGCAGAAACAACAACAACAACAAAAACTAAACACTTGATTAAGTATTTTTTTACGATTATTAAAAATTAGTTAAATAACAATGAAACGTGAGAGAACAAACATATGTAAATACATAAAATGTATGTGAGACTCCGAAAAAAAAAAACAAAAACAAAAAAAAATGTACTAATGTAAAAGAACTAAAGTGACTATGTAAAACAAAGTAACAACAACAAGCATATTATAAACAGAAGAAAAGGAAAAATTAAGCCAGGCACACACAAAGGACTATGTATCATCATTGTACATACATATATACTATACAATTCAAAAAATAAAAAAAAATTAATAAACAAACAAAAATAGTTAAAAATAAAACAGAAATTTAACAAAACAACAACACGAAAATAAATAGTTTAAAATACTTGCAAATATCACTAAGAGTAACTAAACCGATTCAATTATAGTAATTCAAATAAAATGAAATAAAATAAAATAAAATTAATTAAGCAAAGCAAAGTTAATAAGATAAGCACTAAAATATATATTTGTAAAATTTCAAATAGAAACCGAGCGTTGAAAATAAATACGACACAATTTCAAAAATACTGTAGTAAAAAATTCTTCTTCTTAGGCCTTCCTATGCACGAATTGGAGCTCAGGATTTGGTTGCCATGAAAAAAGTCGAGTGAGCATTGCAGCAACGAGTGGCCCGCAGAGTTTTTCGATAAATATTACTCGAAAATTTAGCAGTAATTTTTAACGAGTGATTCGAGCACAATATTTAAGTTAATATTTTTAATATTTTTGTTTTCAATTTTTCTACATTTAAAATTCTTTTTTTTGAAAATTTTTAAAAAGTTTTTTTTTAAATTATTTGATTTTTCTCCGCTTTTCCCTTATGTTCTTTCAATTTTGTTACATTTTTAAAAAAATTTTTAAATTTTTAAGAAATATATAAAAATGAATTCCTACGTTTAATATTTTTCTTTTCAATTTTGCTAAAGTTTTGAATAAAATTTGAAATTATTAAGAATTTTTTTTTTGATATTTGAAATTTGTATGCTGTTGCTTAATATTTTTCTTCTCAATTTTGCTACATTTTTAAAAAATGTCTTCAAATTATTAGGAAATATATAAAAAATTTTCCTACACATAATGTTTTTCTTTTCAATTTTTTCTACATTTTTAAATTTATTTGAAAAGATTAAGAAAATTTTATGGCTAAATTTAAAAAATTATTGAAATTATTAGAAATATTTAAAATTTTAATGCTGCCTTAATATTTTTCTTTGCAATTTTTATACACATTTAAAAAATTTTGTAAATTATTAAAAATTTTTTATTAATTTTAAATCTTTACGTTGCTGCCTTAATATTTTTTCAATCAATTTTTCTACATTTTTAAACTATTATGAAGAAGTTTCTTACATTTATAAAATATTAAAATTTTCAAGTTGCTGTTAATATTTTTTATTCAATTTTTCAAAATTTGTATATAATTTTTTAAATAATTTAGAAATATTTAAAAAGTATTTAAAATTTTTACGCTGCTGTTTAATATTTTTTTTATTAATTTTTTCTACATTTTTAAATAATTTTTCAAACAATTAAGAAATTAAAAAAAAAAAAAATTTTTTTCTTGCCGCTGCTCGAATTGCTTAAAAGTTTTCGTTGGCAGTCAAATGAACCAAATAGTTTCGAGGGAGTATCAATCGACTCGGCTCGAGCACACCACTCGAAGATGGTTGTCCAGAGCTCTAATACACAGACAAAAAATAATAAATAATAAATAACAAAAGTACGAAACTTCAAGAAATAAAATAATTAATAAACAAGTATTAAGTAGAAAACCGTAAACAGTGTCAAATTTTTGGAATACAAACAACAAATATGTATTAAGAATCTAGGAAGGAAAAAAACCGAAAACAAAATCAGAACTACACATACAAAAACAATAGTTTTAAGAGATTAGCATACCAAATAAGAAACAGTTACACTAAACTCTAAACAACTCAACTCAAAAATAAACTAAATTTTAACTATTAGAATTTAAATTTAAAAAAAAGAGAGAAGAAAAAAAGGAAAAATAATGCAAGGTTATTAGTTTATGAAGTACAATATATACATACATATGTATGTTTGTAGATTTTTTTTTAAAAACTTCGATTGAAAATGTGCCTCAAAAGGTCCTCAGGCCCTCGGTAAGCACCTTCCACGCTACGCAATGTTTTTGTTTGATTTAATTAAAAAAAGAAATTATCAAAAAAATTATAAAAAAATGTAAAACTCGTACTCTTCATTCAAGCTATTTGTCATTGACGCAGCAGGAAACAATAACAAAAGCTGTCAGTGTCGTCGGCAACAAATTTCGAACACCAACTTTTGAATTTATTTAATTGAAATGAATTTAGAAATTCTTAAAATAATTAAAAAAAAACACAAACACACACATATATACGTATATCGTAGTTATTGTTGTAGCAATATTAGCTGAAAAACAAACGTAGTTAAAGCACTTTTATATAGCGCAAGTAAATTCGAAACAAAAATACGCAAAAAAAAAAATTCGAAAAAATATTAAATTGAATTTACAGAATATTTTTCCTTCGTACAAATTAAATGCGGACTTATGTGTGTGTATGTAAAAGTGTATGTATGTAAAAGCACAGGAATTCATATACTCCTAGTATACGCTTTCAAGTTAAAACTTAGAAAATGCTGCTCTCAAGTGTGGCCAACTGATTTTTAGTGACCGCTTTGGAATGACCACAAACCCTTAAGGGCGTGGCAGACAAATTCTAATTTTTTTTTAAATAAAATTAATATGAAAAAATTTAAAATTGCAAATCTTCTTTTTTGTCTTTGGACGAAAGCAATTTCGGGTATCTCTCGCCCACAAGCGCTGAAGGGGTTAAAACCACTTGCAAAACCAAAAAAAAAATTTTTTTTTGGAAGATATTTTACTCTATAAACTGAGAGCAAAAAAAATGCGAATAGAAAGAATTTAATGTGGTATAACAATAAACGATATATTTAAAAAAATATTGGGCCCTCTTGTTCCTGTAGCCGATCTCTAGAAGAGCCTCCAAAAAAAGGTCTTTGGCGGTGAGGAAGATATTTTTGTTTCAAATCACCGGAAAATCAACAACTTGAAAGAATTTGTATTAAAATATATATGTATACAGGTAATGGTCGAAGAAGGTGTAAATTTTAATTTTTGATAAAATGACGGCTTCAAAAAAAAATTTTTTTTTATGTGAAAAATTTCACGCTGTAAAATGGCTTAATAAATCATTATCTAGCAAAAGTATGTCTTGGAAAATCTTACGAAAATTTTTAACCGATCGGTTCGGTCATTTCATAGAAATTTTGCTCACCGACTCTGAAAAACGCACTTAAATTCCGAATTAAAAAAATATTAAAAATCGTTTACCAAGGTATAGTGGTGAAGAGAGAGCTAAGGCTACTCCGCCTTGAGCTTCGCCTATTTTCGAACGTCGCGAGACGTACTTAATGATACGATCATATCTCCGAGACTATTTGTCGGCTCAACTTGAGATTTTCGGAAAATATTCTCAAATATATATGAATTTGAAAAATTAAAAAAAAATTGATTTTTTGAAAAGTGTAAGTGGATCTAACCCCTTTAACTGATTTATTTAAATAAATTGCAATTATAATATTGATTTTCAACCCTCTTTGAAGTCTTCGATTGTTTTGGGGAAACTAGAAATGTCACACACATCCAAAATTTTCCGTCTAAAAATAAATAAATTCATTTTAACATTTTTCCTAAAGTTTTAATTTTTTTTAATATTGCAGAGCTCATTAAAAAGTTTCTGCCTCCTTTTTCGGTATATTTTCGCAAAACAAGTTTTTATTTATTGAAAAATAATTTTTATCAAATATTTATTTACCATTATTATCCGTTATGATCTCTCTGTAGCCATATTTTGGAATAGCATCTTCTGTGGTTCATCGGCGAAGAATTTGCTCAAAAGATTTTTGGCCACTATTTCGAGAGAGAAATCTCAACAAAAAAGTAGTCGAATGGTGTAAAGCTCGTCCAAACAATGCATGTATGTATATGGTGGGTGCTTCAATAGTTTCCAACCAAGCGGCAGTGGAGTTTACATCTTCGCCCATGAACCCATTAGAAAAAAGTGTCTTCGGAGAAGTGCTGGACAGCGGCCATTTTGAAATTAAGCCAAACGAAAAATTTTGCATTTATACCATGAAGCCTATACCTATTTTACAGATTTTTGGATTGGTTCCTTTGTTAAGTCAAAATAAATTCATAAAATATGCCAATTTTTTTGCGCTCTAGACCAGCTTCCACCCTTAACTTGTTTTTCAGGCTTTCGTGCTCGTCAAGGCACTCTGACTATTACTTTTTTCATTTTACAGTCTCGTATTCACTTCACTCTGATGAGTGGCTATAGAAATGGTTCGATTGATGGTCATTCGTTCAACCAAATTTGCTTGCTTTGATTCATCCAACATCAAGCTTCTTTGTTTAGCCAGCCTTTCTTGAATGATTACAAACTTCACGTTAGTGTTGTGTAATGCCTCAGCATTCTTCTGTCAACTTGTATGACTGACTTGCTCCAACACTTACAGATTTTCATTTGCTCTCTGAGTGCCTGGACCGATTTGAACGATATGCATCTTACGTCAAAGACTTTTCGAAACGGTATCCAGCACACTACTCCTCGTTCCGGTCCCTAACTCATCTGACGCGTTTTTCTATATCAAAACCTACTTAGCAAGTAAGCTTTAAATAATGAAATTTATTCTTTCTCCTTTTTCCCACGCAATTTTATAGCAGCTGATGAGCCAATCTCTAGCTATTTAGTGTAAGGGACAAGTGTAACTGCGACTTTTCGCGATCAGTCCCAGGTTCAGGGCAGTCGGGACTGTCACTGTTTTACGGTCACTGATCTATTGGATTTTTCAATCGATTATCCTTCAGGCACACCCCTCGTTCGGTTAGACGGGAGGTGGGTAATGCTGGGCTGGCCGTCGTCGAACAAAAGTAGCTTTCTCACTGAAAACCACAGAACGGGTGAGTTCACTC